GGAAGAGGAGGCTGGAGGGGAGCAGCGGTGCCCGGCGTGCACGGGGGAATCAGCCCCGCGCAGACGCGCGTCGCCCCCACGGCAAACGCGGCCCTGGCCTGGCTCCTCCTCAGCTGCTTCCTAGCTCCTGGCTTTCCCCAAGGGAAGAGGCTGCTCCAGGCTCCGGCTGATTCAAGGATGTGGAGCGACAAGCTGCATCGCCCAGGGAAGGAGAGGGCAATTCTTAAGCCTGGAGCTGTCCCTGCGTGCCCCGCTTCTCTCCCACCCTCCTTTAACACGTGGGAAGAGCCTGCGTAAGCCCTGGCAGGAGGGATGGGAGAAGGGAACATCCCGCACGGAGCGGGATGAACCTGCACTGGGAGCCCGAGGGAGCCGCTGGCCGGGAGCGCTGGGCGCTCCCGAGGGTCCGGAGCCGGCAAGCAGAGCCAGGTCTCCATCCCTGCGCACGGGCAGAGCCCATGCACGGCAGGGCAGGGTTCCCTCGTGCCCGCGACGTGTCACCCATGGGAATGGCCAAGCTGGCCAGGGAGATGCAGCTCGGAGACTCTTCCTTCCATGGGAGGCAGCGGGCGCAGCCCCAGCCCCTCTGCCCTTGCAACCACGGGAGCATCTTGGAGCAACTCGGCCTGCCCCTTGCTCGGAGCGGGGAACGGAGGGAGCAGAGCCCGCAGCGCAGCAGGGAGAGCAGCGGGAGGCAGAGCGGAGGTTGAGGCGAGTGCAAACTTGTGAAAGGATGAAAACACCAAACATGAGAGACAGAGAGAGTGGGAGAACCCGCGCACGCAGAGGAGGGCAACGCTGTGGCCGGAGGCAGCCGGACCATGGTGGCCATCAGGGCCTGCCACGTCCCCCGCTGGGAGCTCGGTGGGTGCAAAGGGACGAGAACAAGCGACGAGGTCCCCTCACCTCGGTGGCACCGGCCCCACGCGCTGCAGGAGGGGCCGCTTGCATTTCTAGCTCCATTCCCTCCCTAGCCAAAGCCGGGAGCGAGGAGCCCGGAGCTGAACCAGCCACCGAGGGGGAGGCAGGACAAGGTCCGGCGTTGAGCAGGGCAGGGAAGCTGCCTCCTCCCCACGGCTCCCAGGGGAGAGAAGCTGCTCCTAGGGTCACCTCTGTGCCTGGTTATTCCTAGGAAACCCTTGACTGCGAGTAAACGTGCTGAGCGCTCCCGCTCGGAGGCGGGGGGTTGCACGTTGCCCTCTCTGGCCAGCTGCTACTTACGTTCCTGTCCGCTGCTCTCCTGGGCCAGGTTCTCTTTGCTCTTGTAAAATGGAAACTTTCGAGAGAGGCGGAAACTCTTTTTACGTTTCGTTTTGATCGACTGTGAAGAACATGGAGATGGAAGGGAGGACAGAAAAAACAATGGTGTTTAACGCATGCAAGAAAAATTAAAAATGAAGAGAAAATGAGGAGCTGTGTCAGGGCAGTTACCTTTTAAATGAAATCATGAAGATTACATGAAAACTGTAATGCAGGAGAAAAATTAAGTGTAAAGGAAAATGTGTTTTTAGGGATGTTGGGAAGCTGACTAGACAAATGAGCGGTTTGGCAGGAGCAAGGCCGTGTGTCCCTTCCTCATCTCTCAGCTCCAGCTCGCAGGGAGGTCACGCTCGTCCGCGTGGGTCGCCTGCAGTCAGCTCCAAGCCCCGCTGCTGCGCATGGGCCGCGGGGCCACGTGCTCTGCTCCCTGCGCCCCTGCACGGGGACACGGCTGGGGACCCGCGTGTCCTTCGCATCCCCTCCTGCTCCGAGCCCTGCATGCTCAAGGCACACGCAGGGAGAAGTCCAGTTGTGCTGCTCTTTGGTTGGGAACCGCTCCAGCTGCCACCTGAGCTGGGAATGCTGCACTGTCCGTTTGGATTCATCCTGCCCCGCTAGCTACAGGCTCAGGACGAGCTGCTGCGTCCCACCTCGAGCACTTACCCTGTTGGACTCTATCATGCCAGTCCTGGCGTGGAACTTCACTGTTTTCAACCGCGCTCTCTCCTTCTTTTCCACCCTGATTGGAAGTTAAAAGGGAGAAAGATCTGCTAGTCCTGTGCACGTGGTGCTCCTCCTGCCAGGCCCATGGGGCAGCTCAGCCGCCCAGGCAGTTGGGAGCATCCTTGGGGACGGTCCCCGCTGCGAAGGAGGGCTCCTCTCCTGGGATGGACCGAGGTGGCAGCCTGTCCTGGCTCAGACCAGGACCCCGGGAGACTGAAAACCACCCTCCAGTTCTGCAGGAGCGGGAGAGGGAACCTCAGCCTTCCTGGGAGGGATGGAGGATGAATGGAGATGGGGCACACATGCGCGTGAGGGGCTCCCCCTCGGCTCCGGGAGCAAGGATGCACAGCAAGGATGAGCGTGTGCTTTGGAGAAGCCGGGCGGCGGGAACGGGAACAGGGCTCTGCTCAAACCCTGCTCCCGTGTCCCCGAGCTGGGCTCTGCCAAAGGACACGTCAGCGCCGGCTGCTGCAGCGGAGGGGATGGCTGCTGTGCTGGAGGAGCTGCACAAGCTGCAGGCAGGGGACATGGGGACAGCCACCTCCGAGGGACAGCGCCTGCCCGACCCGCCAGGACGGGGCTGGACCCGGGGCCCGCAGAGGCTGGAGACCTGCGGGAGGTGGGCAGAGAGCTCCCTGCGCGGGACAGACCGCCCCGGGCTGCAAGAACGTCCTCGTGCTCGTGCCGCTGCCGTGACTTTGCTCCCAC